TTATCTTGAATATTATTCATAAACGTAAATGATAATTATTTTTCAATAAATAAATCCAAACACAGTAGTGAGGTTAAACGAAACATTGAAGCATTTAAAATCATCGAAAATTTATTTCGTGCCTGTTACATCATTAATATATACATATATACATAGTGAATAGATATATAATGAAATAGTAAAAATAGGAAAAATGTTCATTTGTCATTTTCATTGTTTGTTGACTAAATAATGAAGAAGGAAACAAAAGTCATTTAAATACGTCTTTAAAGAAAACATATGTATATAATTGTAATTCTTATAACAGCACTCATAGTTGTAAAAAAAATGATCTGTTATTTCTCAAAAGGAAAAAAAAGCACTCCTTTGTAAGAGCAGACTTCTGGTCGATATAATCCCTCCATTGATTAAAGTCGATGTTCTGTCAGAATTCTGTCCCCAAAGGACGACCTTCGTAGTGGGGTGAGCCGACGAATAAGGGAGAGAATACTGGCCGTCGACCCCAACAGTTTAGTTGCCTTATGAAACGCGCATGAATCGTTCGCGGTTCACTTTTACGTTTCTTAACAAAAATTTTTCGTAAATTTCTACCATTAAGTGAAGTTTTCAATACAGTGTTCCGTTGTTGAATCAAATATTCGATCGTGTGAGTTTTGAAAACGAAAGGTGAAATGTATTATAGAACACAAAAATTTAAAGAAAACTACGTATTGTAGAAAAATATGTATATTTGATAATAGTTAACTGCTTATGTTTAAAATGTTCTAAAGCCATATTTACTTTTTCAGTTTACAAAATACTGACATTAGTTTTACGTTTTAAAGTTGTACTAAGTGCGCACAATTATTTTATGTTTTTAGTTTGTTTTACCTAAATAATATAAAATTCTTTGAACAAATACACAACTTATATAAAAATATTGAATAAAAATTACTAGTAGTTTTCAAATAATATTTTCACACAATAGTGTTTGTTTTTTCGACACCTTTGATAATTCTTAATCAAAAACATGCAAATTTTTTGTACAAGATCAAGTTATTCGCTGTTTGCAGAAGTTGAAACCGTTAAAATTTGCTCATAAACTTTTGGTTCTAATCTTTTAAATAAAATACAATTATATCGTGACGTTTATTTGACTTTAAATTTCATTGCTACTTTTCTAATTTCTACACAAAAAAATTAGAACATTACTGGTGCGTGACAATTAATAATGCGACATAACGTAAATTTTTCACCATTACGAAGATGAACAGATTTTTAAGATATAAAGACAGAAAGTTTGTGGTGAAACTCATCCGGTATCGATTCCTATAAATTGCAGTGGTGCATCTACTAACAGCACATTTATGACTCCCCTTTTTTCGAGGCGAGAGAAATTTTTCTCAAGGAGAATGTTTGCACCAAGATAAACAAGAAAATTGTAAGTTTGTAAATTTATGACATTAGAACTAACCGGCACTGATAATTTCATTTTTTGTGTCATATATTTATCGAAAAAATTGTAAAATTAATATAATAAATTTAAATAAATTATTATATACATATATTCAAGTACTATATTTATTCATTTGCGATTGTTCAGGGATTGCACACGGATGACGAGTTGGATATGAGTTTGAAATTTAAATGGCTCTTTCTTGGAATGCTGGTTATCGTCCACCTTGAGTTCGGTAAAACCTTTATGAATTTTGCAATATTTTACTAATTTTACTATTTAAATTCTGCCCTTGTTATAAAAATTTTTATAAGCAAACAGAAAAATATTGTTTACCATTTATCTTTTATTATTTGATGTAAATGTCCGTTAGTCATCTATTATTTTACAATAATTAACGATATAAAAAAAATTAGATATAGCTAAATCAATAATGGAAGATGAGGAAGAATTTATAGCGTTGAAAATTGATTCTCCTTCTTCTCATATCGCTCTTTCGGGAGACCTTACAATATCTCTCGCAAAGTCCAATCAGACATTAGAAAAAACAAAGTACAAATATGCGTTCAAAGATAAAAATAATGAAAGTGCTAAACTGCTGAAAAATGTTTCTAATGAATATTTATTACTGAGGTAAGCCAGCATTTATTGCATTACGAATTATTGAAAATTATTGTTAAAATGTGAAAAAATTTTACTCTTTATCTACAAACGAACGATGTGTTATTTATTGTTTTCTGAATGTTAACATTGTTTTTAGAGTACTGTACCTTCTTGAAGACATATCAGAATTAATCGGTGAAATTCAACTGGAAAGGTTGCCATCAGAAAATGAGACAATTTCAATTGTTATTCCTTGCGGATATTTCACTCGTGGCGGTGTTTATACTCTGCGAGTGGAGTATAAATATGAAAATTCAACAGTGCCTGTTGCCTCTCTTTATCAGGTTATTGTCATTGTTTCTCATTTAAAACATATACCTGTACATTTGTTCATAATATATTTAGTATTTAGTATTTTAATTTGCAATTACGCACATACTTTTTCACAATCTTCTAACACTCGTGTAGTAATTAACAAAATTTTCGTTTATAGACAAGTAAAATATTGGATGTAAAGTGGCCACTATCAACGATTTATTTGGAATCTCAACAAATTACTTCTTATCCGACTGAACCTGTTAGAGCCACAGTAAAATACGACGGAGTAAATTGCAGTCCCTCCGAAAACGTTCCTCTAGCTATCTATATTTTACAATTAATATATTGTGGGTCTAATCTAACTGCCTGTTATCTACAAAATAATACTTATAGCCAAGTAAGTGAACAATTTTTTAAAGTTTTTCTCGCAGTTACTGTTACTTCCTCATGTTTCAGAGATTATTAGTGTCTGAAGTTATAAATTTTACGTTACATTTCCAGGTATTATATTATGAAGAAATAAGAGATCTATCATCAAAGAATATTTCTTTCCAATGTGAATTTTTTGGATTGCCTGGGAATTATGCTATCAGATTGAAAGGTTCAAATACTAATCCTACAGCACCAAACACTAGTGTGTATTTCGAGGTAATTAGTTACCATGTAAACCGATTATTAGTAAGATAAAAATGATAATTAAGACACGTACTTGTAAATTAGCAATGAATTTACACTCAAATTACAGGTGAATTGGTCGGAAGAATTCAAACTTACGGTTCATGCAAGATCGATATACCCTTGCGAAGGACCAGGGGGGGTAGCCGTCCTTTTCGAATATCCTTCGTGTCGATTAGAAGGTGATCGTGTTCGCGTTTACGGACGTTTAAAGGCTGACGTTACTTCCGCTGCTCCACCCTCCAGTCTTCATTATATTACAGAATCCAGATCGATACCTGGCAAACATTCTATAGCCTTTGATTGTGATCTTTTTACGGAAAAATTTGTCGAATACTGTTTTGTCTATGTTAGTCAGACTATCACAAGTGCTATGGTGGATGTTAAGAATTCTTGCATACCTACATTTCCTTTTCAAGGTAAATTTCATTCTTTTTTATAATATTGTCACAAATATCATATAGTTGTATTATGAATTAATAGAGCTTGTAAACTTTGGTATCATTATTTATACGGTTAAATGGAGATGTTGATTGGTGAATAATTATTGGTTTATTAGAATATCTTGTGAATAGAGTGATTCTCCGGAGTGTTATTTCCTTCATTTGAACAATTTTTTATATTCCCAATGTAAATCACATTAATTCGCGCCGCATTGGTTACAATACTAATGCTAAATTGATATATGCTAAATTATATTCTTATATTGCCATTACATTACATTACATTAGATATTGTTCTGTTAACTTTCATTAACATTTATTGCAATGCATATTTTATGTTTGTAAGAGCTGTTCACTTTTTGTGCTTCATTTTCTCTTTTATATTCATTTATTTAGAAGGCGATGCTGCGGGATGGGGATCTTGGAATCCTTGGAGTCCATGTAGCAACTCATGTTTCGGAGGAATTCGAAATCGATATCGCTTTTGTGATAGTCCTCCTCCAAAATATGGAGCAAAATTTTGTCAAGTAAATTTTTCTTTCGAATAGAATAAAAAAGAGAAATTGTTTTAGTTGAGAATTCAAGTTGAGAGTTCAAGATTTGAAAATTAAACAATGATAGAACCAATAAAATTAACATTTATTTATTAAATTATAGGGTAAAGCAATAGAAACAGAATTCTGTGGAAAAATTTTCTGGGAGGAATCTAATAAGAACGAATGGCATAATCGAATTGAGAATTCTGAGTGTCATCGTACAGTTTTAGCTGCAACAAAACCGGAGATCAAAGATGAAATTGAACTGAAATGTCGATGTGGTTGTCCTATTGCATTAAAAGAACAACCTTTTAGAAAAATACTCGCAGCTAACACTCAAGCTTGTCCTGGTAAATCTGTTTGGCTTTTACAGGTAATATTTAATATTACAATTTACCTGCAGAGATTAAAAAAAAAAATCCTCTTTTGGAATTTTTTCATACAAGTGAAAAGAAATTTGTTTAAGTCTGTTAATATCAAAAATTATGATCGGTTTTGTTATTATGAAATGTTTTGTAGACCAGGTGCGACTGTAATAATGGCAAAAGAAAGCACGGGATGATTCTCCGTAAAAGAATAAATTGAAGATTTTTTAATTCAAGGCTTCATTTTCAAGACTATTGATTCTAAACATCTGTTGCATACAGCTCCAATACATCCACCAATACAGATTAGTATTTATAGACAATCATATTGTATTTAAAGTCATATTGCAGAAAAGGTAAAACAAGCCTTTACAAAAGTTTGCATGAAGCATTAAAAGAATACGAACAGATTTTAATACGTTTTCGTTTATTTTTTTAAATTAGTTGAAACTTGTTTTGTATAAATATGGGTAAAAATAATCCATGGTGAAGTACTATAATAGCAGTTATATTTGAAAAATGAAACCTCGAATAAAAACACTTCGTCCTATATTTTCACTTTATTTTTGCACCAATAGTAGCACTATGTGTAGTTGCATTATCATTATAGCCGCATCATGCATATGGAATATTTATGAAAATTGATTTCTTAATAACAAACAAATTTCATATAATGAAAAATAATGTCAATAGTATATAATTATTATAGAATCGAATTTGATTTATCTAGGCGCAGGCGAATTTTGTAATTCGATTACATTTAGATCAATTACACTTTCCTTGCCCAAAGCAATATTTTCGTGTTCGAGATGGCGATAATTTAAATGCGAACCTCTTAATCGATGTTGCTTTTGATAAAATACAACACACTGCAAAGACAATAATCAGCACTGGACAAAATTTATTACTCGAATTTTGTAGTGATGAACGTACAGCATCAAGAAATGTTTGTATTGGTGGTTTTCTTGCTAATTTCATTTAACATGATTCAATTGTAGATAAGAAGTATTTAAAAAGAAATGGAACCGTAACCGTTGTGCCTTTTGAAACAAATTCAACGAACGTTGACAAAGAATGGATCTTTTGGAAACCAGCACACTTAGCAACTGCCCTTATTTTGATACTCATGTTCATAGTTTCTATTGTCTTGACGTTGCAATTTGTTATAAAGTACAGAAAATATCGTATTGCCGAGGATTTGGATAGTTTAAGCGATGTTTCCGGTACAATTAATGTTATTTTTTATTGATCACCCTTTCTTTTTTGGAAAAGTACTTATTTGTTAATTATTACATAAAGTTATTTAATGTTTCAATAATATTAATTTTATATTAGTATGTATTATTTTCATAAATAATTTCAACTTAAAGGATTACGTCTACCTAGAGGGGTCAAAAAGATAAATATTCTAATTGTTACATATTCCAGAAGTCTGAAGTAGTTTACACGCATATAAAATTTTATCCGAAAATCGATAAATGTTTAACAAAAAAAATTAACGAAAAGATAATAATTCTTCATGTATTATTTAGACAAGTGGACTTTATTCAAAAATACAACATCCTTCTACTTGCACCATTTTTCGACCTCTAATAGTTTCCAAGATGCTAGATCAAATAGATTTCTCACCTAACTTTGAAAATGATTTTCACTCCATCAATTTCAATGCTTCACCATACCAAAATATGTGGACAATATTTTTTTTTATATTACTGTATCACAATTTGATAAAAATTTGCAATTATCATTCTGAGATGGTCCCTTATTAGTGGGAAAATATTCGCTTTAATGATCACCTATAATTTGAACAAAAATTTTGGAATTTGTACTCTGTATTTGCAGTCTTTAGGTAGAGGTAATACTTTAAAACAAATTTACTATTCCATCATTAGAATAAATTGTCTCTTAAAAATTTACGATTAAATCAGACTTTAATTACAATTAGAACTAATGTCTGGCCGATCGAGATTTCTATCTACAAGTACAATTATTTCTGAAGTCATCTCAATGATAGATACAACTACAAGACGTTCTCCAAAAGAAACTTTAAATAATACAGAAGAATGCTGCAACAGCATTGAAACTTTAACAGAGTAAGAATAATAGCAATGTTTGAACATTTTAAAAGATTATAAAAGATTGTATATGTTGTTTTAAAAATAGCAAATTTAAATTAGAATATATGTATTACTTTTCAAATATAGATACAAAGATGAATCTACACTGAGTTCTAGTACATTAAAATTAAATAACACAATGGAAACTTCTTCAGACAAAACAATCACATCAATTAAATCAAACTGTGATAAATTATTATCAGCTTCCAGCATTCTTGTTTACAATAAACCAGAAGTAAAATATGCTTATCCTGTAAAGTAAGTTCAGATTGTATTTTATTTAATGTAATGAGAATTAAAAATTATAATTTAGTTTGTAATTCATATATAGATTGCAAACAGTAGATTATGGTACTTTAGAGGAAAATGCATTAAAAATAGAAAATGAAAAATTGGAAAATAATGAAATTAGTTATTCTGAAGGAAAGGTAAATGTCATTATTCAAAAATTTACAAAAGTATAAAAAGTCATTGTACTTTTTCTTATTTTACATCTTTTTCTAATACATAGGAATCTTCACCTGAAAGTGTTCTTTCAAGTTCATCAACATTAGGAAGTGGGAAAGAAACAAAAGAAAGAAGAAATCGTGAAAAACTTTTACAAGGTCCAGGATCAGAATTTAGTCTCACAAATCCTGATTCAGAACTGGAATTGGATTACTATGATTATAATGTAGCAAATGCTAGTGCTGTTCCAGGATCTTACTTAGGAATGGATCCTGCTTTCCTAGTCTGGATTCCACCAATTGAAGACTTAAAACTTGATACCGAAGACCTTCTCCTGGGGTAATTAATAACATATGTTAATTAATTAGTTAACAGTAATATTGATAACTATACAAACTAATTACTTCTCAATAGAAGTAAAAGGAACTCTATTTTGACTCTTGAAACTGAGGGTGCTGCACTAACTCCATCTGAATATCGAAGAATGAAACTTTCTAGCTTCGAAGATTTTGGATTTGAATTAGAACAAGGGTAAATAATAAAATAAATAGTCTATTTTTTTATGAATAGTTCATAAACATATTTTTAATTCATACAAATGAATTAATTTTATACGGTAAGTTGTAGAATTGATTAAATAGTTTTGTATTAATAGTTAAAAATATATTCAAAAAGAATGTAACAAGTTGTTAAAATGTAAATAATGAAAATTTGAATAGAAATGACATTTCCAAAATTTTCAGAACAAGAACATTTGAAAAATTACTTCCTGTCCAAAAGCTTTTAGAAGATTCTAGTATCAAAGTAAGCATGGAATCTATATCTGGTATTCTCGAACATAAACAATATTGTGTTATTCCAAGCAAGAGGTAAGTTAATAATACTTACTTGTATAAATATTATTTAAGTAATGAATAGTAAAATTTATAACATATTTACATAAGACAAGTTTCTAGTTCTTATACCCTTTATTTTTTCAAACTCTCTGATACTTTTACATATATTCAAGTGCAAATAGTAAGTAGATTATTCCTTTGACCCATGTGTTATAAGAAACAATATAAATAAGCATAACCCATAAAAGTAACAATAACTGTTCTTCTGTTCAATATGAGACAAAAATGTATTTTTAAATATTCCACTTTCTTTAAGTTATTTTCAAAATAATTACTTTTATATTAATAATATTTTTTGCTTCTCATAGGATTCGTATAGGTAAGGATGAAGAATCAAGTGAAGAATCTAATTCTTCCAAAAGTCTTCTTGGAAGCCCTACAAATATGTTGGATAATGATGAGAATAATAAAGAAAAATTATGTTCCACTTCAAATAAAATATTACAAAAAGATTTTTCAAAATTAAAACACAATTCTAATCAAAAGAAGATTTATAAAAATCAAGATGAAAATGTAACAAATATGTCTTGCAAGTATAAAGAATTAATGGGATGTACCCAGTCATTTGGAAATATAAAAGATGCTGTAAATATTCCCATGACAGAATTATCAGGAAGTCCTTTAAAAAAATTTGCTGAAGTTCGAAAATTAAATTGTAAAGACGTTAATGCTTCTTTAAATATTCAGAATCCAGATTATGGTATAGAAGCATTTTGCATAAAACAGGGATCTTTTTATGATCAAAATATTAAATTCGTTGACGATGACGATGACGAATATATCAATTAGAAATTATATAAAGTTATTCTTTTAAATTTTTATTGTACAATACATATATAACATTTTTTTATTTCAATATTTCTTCCGTATGACTCTCTGCGTTAAGAGCAATAAAAATTGGTATTTTAATAATACTTTTTTAAAAATATATTTAAACTG